CTCTCTCTCTCTCTCTCTCTCTCTCGCATACACTTTGTTTATACACGTAATTCACACACAAAAAGTCTTTTTGAAAATCGCGTGTCTGTCCTCTCTATTACCGATACTCTCTGTGTCTCTCTCACACACAATCGGATAGTTAGTCATACATCCCATACCATACCCTCTGCCGACCCATACCTCCCAAACCCTCGCTGACTAATCGCAGGGCTCTTCAGACACAAATATTATCTGAAAGTGATTTTGATTTTTCTGTTTGCAATTGAATAGCATATGAATTTTGGATTCTTTAATCTCGTATTATATAACATTATATTCTTTATATTGAATGCAATTCTTGGAAGTAATGTATAGCCTATTCACGTATAATTGAATTAAATACTGTATAATATACTGTATATTATATATAATTTCAATTATATATCTATTACTAGTATAAATGAGAGACTGAAGTACAGTATATTAGTAATGAAGTTATTTATAGTCATGAAATGATTTCAAACATTATAATTGGTATCAAATAATGTGTATATTTTTCTAAACAATTACTCCATTGTATGTGAATTACACAGAATAAGAGTCATTGAAAATAAACAGTAAATACAATGCCTTTTATATAGAGTTAGATTAGATTATAGAGAGAAATAGATTTTGTCGGCGTTTATATAAATTAGTTTAACTCTTAATAGAGTTGCCGTTACAGTGATTTGCAAACAGTATTGGCACAGTAGGCTTAGGCTACCGGCGCTCTCTCGCTGTTTATTTCAATTGCAAAGAGTCAGCGCTATGTGTCTCCTGAGGGTACACCGACTGAAGACTTTTTTGTGTGTCAATCGATATACAGTTTGTATACAAAATACCGATTCGCCACTGATTATGTGATAGTACAGTACCAGTGCCCTTAACAATAGGTGTATAGGGCTGGCTGTTTGCGGTTACCGTAACGTTAATTCAAAAGCACTGCTACTCTAAGAGTCCATTGAATTGAATGGCATATGAATTGCTAGTGTTTTGTGTTTGACAGCAGTTTCTCGGCATTGAATGCCTTTAATAATGCATTTTGTTATCACAAAACACTTATTCATTATATTGTTATTTGTGTTGTTATTATTAGATTAATTATTTGTAGAGATTTGTTTGCGCATAAAATGAGATTTTTATACAATAAACAAACTGATTATATTTTGTGAGTCAAGTGATGCTTATAAAAAATATATATAATTAAATTTATTCATGAATAATTATATTTACATTATTATTATATTTTCTGACAATTTTCAAGAATATGTATTATATTCTGTAAGAATAATAAATATAATAATCTCTCTCTCTCTCTCTCTCTCTCTCTCTCTCTCTCATCATAAATAATATTAATATTAAAATTTCCTGTAAATATTTACAATGAAAAAATCAAATCCTATTTTATTATGAATTCATCTGAAAGCCTACAATATTTTACCGTTGAATACGTGATCAAAACAAATCTAAAACATATTTTTGACATTTTAATAATGATTTTCAGCAGAAAATAAATGTATTTCTAATTTAAGAGCCTAAAGACAATGAGACTGTCGACACATATGCTGTCAGTATGTGCTGTCAATAACACACAATCATGTATTTAGCAAACTAGCAAGGACAGTTACGAGTATATTATAAAATTGCACAGAATATACTGTTCACCAAGGTCGATTTTCTATTCCCAAGGCTCTCGAATGACAATATAAATATAAATATAGCAATAAATTGTGTGTACATTAAGACTATACATGCGATTCTTGCAATTGCCGGGATTATTATTATGACTGCACAAATATCCAGTATATTTATAAATGAGATAAATATGTTGTTTAATAACATGTTTAGTATTTCCCAATCATTTATCAATGCCATACAATCTGTGCAAATATTTTTGCTAAACTCGCTAACAGTATAATAGCGTTAAAATGATGATAAGATTACCATTTGTTGGGGTATTTGATGGGCAATTAATTTATAGGTTTTTCGCACTCGAGAGCTAAATAAATATGTAAATCCAGATATGGATCCAAATTTCAAGTTTAATAAATTTAATAATAACAAAAACAATTTCTGCTAAACTTTTAACAAACAATTAATTACATGCCTTGCAAATAATTGTAATAAATAACATTTTACGTCATTTTAATGGCATTTTAATAAAAATTTTAAAATTTAACAGCCGTAAGCACCAATAGGACCTTGAACAGTTATATGACCACTGTATTGATTCCACTCAAAGAACTGGATATTGATTAGAAGGTTATACCAATTTAAGTGAATTCCCAGTTCATTACAACACATTAGAGTATATTGATGATTTAACTATTTAATCAATTTAGTTATATAACAATCAAAAAAATTAGGGCTGACCTACGGGTTCAAACGGTGCTGTATATATAAATCGTTGTAAATATCTAATTAATTAGTTTGTCGCGTAACTTACATTGAATTTAACTGTACCGTACTATATATCTAATACAAAATAATTTGTACAATCTAATATTTTGTACATTTGATGCTAAATAAAGCATAAACAATTCAGTGCGTAGTGTACTTAATAAGTTTGCTAATCAGTATATAAATCATTAGTTTTTCGAGTTTTATTTCTATCGAAAAATTGTCAAGAAATTAATAAAACTTGTTAGAAATTTTAAAAGTGACCCAAACAACATGTCTAACAAAAAGCTAACTGTCCTATTGGCGCCGGCACAGTTTGTGGGTCCCATGATGTCCAGTATAGGTATGGCCGAAGTGTTGCGAGACGTGGGCGGACACGAGTGTGTGTTTGCCGTCCGTAACGATTGGAAAGCACGGCTCGAGGCCATGGGATTTGAGGTGAGACTTATCGGGAAACCGGTGGACAGGGATATGGTTGTCATGGATTCGGCCGATAGTAACGTAAAGGACGCTCAGGAGACGGGAATTATCGACGACATCACACCATTTGAAAAGGCTATTAGTTGTAACGATTTCTTTATGCAATTATTACCCAAAGAGATCCAAGAAACTGATCCATACATCAGGAATATTATAGCGGACCTCAAGCCGGATGTCATAATTAGCGACAATTTGATAACACTTCCCTCTATAGTAACATCAGGCATACCCTGGATATTCAGTTGGAGTAATAATCCTCATTCACTGGATTATGGTTATGAGGATAAACGCCTCCCGCCATCATTTTTAGGTATGTTTTAGCGGATAATTAAATAATTATTTTGAAAAACGAGTTTTAATTATTGTGTCGTTTATAAGGATTGCCGACAAATAGTGAGACAGAAGTGAAGGAGAAATACAGACAACAACTCAATGAAGGAAAGGGAGATAAATGGTACACATATAGGGATCAGCTCATTGCTAGTGGATGTCCGGAACTCAAGGATTTCCTTATGTGGACCCCATCCCCCTTTGCAAACATATATATGATACCTAAAGAACTGGATTATACGGACATCAGACCACTTCCCGACAATTTTTATGGATTTGATTGTTTCAAACGCAGTGGAAATGAAGATAAATTTGAAGTCCCAGAAAGTCTTAAGAATAGGTCCGGAAAACTGATTTATCTATCGTTAGGATCTATGGGTTCTGGAAATGTGGAACTTATGAAGAGATTGGTTGCGATTTTGTCCAAATCTAAGCACCGGTTCATTGTCTCCAAAGGTGTCAAACATAATGAATACGAATTGGCGGACAATATGTGGGGCGAGAGGTCTGTCCCTCAGGTGAAAGTGTTGTCAGTCGTAGACCTAATGATAACACACGGCGGCAACAATACAGTCACCGAAACCATGTATTTTGGGAAACCAATGATAGTCTTACCACTATTTGCGGATCAATACGATAACGCACAGAGGATTCAAGAGAAAGGATTTGGTATAAGACTCGACGCTTTCAAGTGCTCTGAAAATGATTTATTGGATTCAATCGACAGACTATTAAGCGATCAAATATTGACCCAAAAATTGGTAAAAGTGTCGCAAAGAATTCAAAGCGAAAAGAATATCGAAAAACTCGTCAAAATTGTTGAGAATTTTAGTGAAATAATGATTTGATAAATTAAGATTTATTAATTTTTAATAGTTATAAAATACTCCCACATTAAATTTTAAAGTCATGCAATAACCAATATTTTGACTTAAGTAATATGAAACTTTTTTGTATACTTTTAAATTAACAATACTGGTTAATCTAATTTGAATTTACATAACTCAGTGAATGTCCAAAACAATCAAATAATTAGAAAATAAATTATATATTATAAGTTTATAGTTTACACTTTTATAGTTAATATTTTAAATTACTCTCAAGTACTGTACCTTGCATAACATTATTTAATGTATTATTATTATTAAAAATTAGTTTAACTTTGAATCAATATAAAAATTGTTTACAACTATATTTATATTTATATGAAATGATATATAGTTAAGGCATCTGGGTTTGAAATTTTGTACTAATTATGTGATTAAAACGGCCTTGCCATATTCAACAGTAATATTGGATATAATCAACAATTAAATCATAAATGGACCAATCTTAATTGTTCCATGAACAGTGTGTTATAACTTTCATACAGTATCTCTGATAAGTCGAGCTGGACAAACTATGTGACAAATATCCTTAGTGGCCAGATTATATAAATCAGTGCACACTTTGCCAAATATTTTACTCACAACTATCGGTGCCTTACAAGATATAAAAGTTATAGCATTTAAATAAATCACTTTATTTTAATATTAGGTTTACAAAACCAAAGGTACGTTATTTTATACTCAATAACCCTAATTAAAACTGAAAACAATTATATCGTGTTTTAATTGATATAAACTATTTATTTTTAACTAATTTATCGACAATTTTGACGAGTTTTTCGATATTCCTTTCGCTTTGAATTCTTTGCGACACTTTTGCCAACTTTTGGGTCAATATTTGATCGCTTAATAGTCTGTCGATTGAATCCAATAATTCATTTTCAGAGCACTCGTAGGGATTCAGTCTAATCCCAAACCCTTTTTCTTGAAGTCTCTGTGCGTTATCCGAATGATCCCCAAAGAGTGGTAAGACTATCATAGGTTTCCCGAAATACATGGTTTCCGTCACCGATTTGTTTCCCCCATGTGTTAGCACCAGATCTACCATTTGTAACACTTTTATCTGAGGGACAGATTTCTCGCCCCACATATTGTCCGCCAATTCGTACTCATTATGTTTGACACCTTTGGAGACAATGAACCGGTGCTTAGATTTGGACAAAATCGCAACCAATCTCTTCATAAGCTCCACATTTCCAGAACCCATAGAACCCAATGAAAAGTAAATCAATTTTCCGGATCTATTCTTAAGACTTTCCGGGATTTCAAACTTGTCTTCATTTCCGGTTCGTTTAAAATTATCAAATGCATGGAAAGTGTCGGGAAGTGGTCTGACATCCGTATAATCCAATTCCTTAGGAGTCATATATATGTTTGCAAAGGGGGATGGGGTCCAGAATAGGAATTCCTGAAGTTTGGGACATCCCATTGAAACCAATTGATCCCTATATTTATACCACTTTTCACGACTTCTTTCCCACACTTGTTGTCTGTATTTCTCCTTCACTTCTGTCCCACTATTTGTCGGCAATCCTTATAAATGAAAAAAATATTTACAAATAAAATTATTTTGAATAACTTTATTGAAATTTTATATTTCTATAAATAACTATAGATACCTAAAAATGGTGGTGGAAGTATGTCAACCGGGTATCCGCAGTTTAATGACAATGTATTAGCACTCCAACTGAATATCCAGGGTATACCTGATGTGACAATCGATGGTAATTGAACAAGCTGGTCACTTATTATGACATCCGGCTTGAGATCCTCTATAATAGTCTTAACCAATGGATCTGTTTCTGCCATTTCTTTGAGACCATAGCTTAGAATCCAATCGTTGACAAGAATAGCCATTTCCAATGGAGTGGTGTTTTGAAAAAGGCCCGACTCCTCGATCTCAGCCACGTTGCTCTCAGTCGAGTCAGTCACCACTACATCCCCGGCCACCGGGTGTCCCAGAAGTTTCACCTCAAACCCAATGGACTCGAGCCGTGACTTCCAATCGTTGTTAACCGCAAACACACAGTTGTATCGACCGGTGTCTCTCAACACCTCAGCCATACCTATACTAGCGTTCACAGAGCCCGCAAACTGAGCAGGGGCCAACAGCACGGTTAGTTTTTTGATTGGCATTATTGTAAACTAGCGTTTAATTTGAGAATGTTATTAAAATTTTTATTTATGTTTAATGAATTGTATGTTTGCATTAAATGTAAACCTTTTTATAACATTTACTTTATAACTTTTGCACTAATAATATTATCATGGACACGCATTAACAGCGATAGAAATTATCATAGTAAACTAAAATTGCACTGAAATTGCACTGTGTGTATCACAAATAGTGTGTATCTTGAATTTATTTGTATAAAAATTCATTAAACTTTAACTGATCAAATGTTATTAATGTACCATACTTGAAATCTTACTGTAACAGTAACCTTGATGTAAATCATGTAACCTTTATAATCACTACTTTTTATTAATTATAGAAATTATTTTATTTGTTACAATTTTTTGTCAGCCTAATACATTTTGTTTATTAAAAGTTTATTTCATTAGGAGCACATAGAATAAGTCAGTAATTTGTAGAGCATTTAATACTTAATAAACTTAATAATAACACTTCAGTGCAAAGTGTATTTGATAAGTTTGATAATTTTTGTAGCCATCAGTATATAAACAATTAGTTTTCGAATTATATTTCTATCGAAAAGTTGTCAAGAAATTACTAAAACTTTCTGAAAATATAAAAAGTGCTCTGAACAACATGCCTAACAAAAAGCTAACTGTCCTATTGGCGCCGGCACAGTTTGTGGGGCCCATGATGTCCAGTATAGGTATGGCCGAAGTGTTGCGAGACGTGGGCGGACACGAGTGTGTGTTTGCCGTCAAAAACTATTGGAAAGCACGGCTCGAGTCCATGGGATTTGAGGTGAAACTGGTTGAACAGACGGTGGACAGGGATGTGGTTGTCATGGATTCGGCCGATAGTAACGTAAAGGACGCTCTTGAGGGGGGATTTATTGATGATATCACACCATTAGAAAAGGCTATTAGTAGCAGCGACTACATTATGAAAGTATTACCCAAAGAGATCCGAGAAACTGATCCCTACCTCAGGAGTATTATAGCGGACGTAAAGCCGGATGTCATAATTAGCGACCATTTCCTAACACTTCCCTCAATAGTGACATCAGGCATACCCTGGATATTCAGTTGGAGTAATAATCCTCATTCACTGGATTATGGTTATGAGGACAAACGCCTCCCGCCATCATTTTTAGGTATGTTTTAACGCATAATTAAATAAGTATTTTGAAAATAATTTCTAATTATTATGTCGTTTGTAAGGATTGCCGACAAATAGTGAGACAGAAGTGAAGGAGAAATACAGACAACAGATAAATGAGGCAAAAGCAGACAAATGGTATGAATATAGGGATCAACTCATTGCTAATGGATGTCCGGAACTCAAGGATTTCCTTATGTGGACCCCATCCCCCTTTGCAAACATATATATGATACCCAAAGAACTGGATTATACGGACATCAGACCACTTCCTGATAATTTCCATGGATTTGATTATTTTAAAAGAAGTGGTAATGAAGACACGTTTGAAGTCCCAGAAAATCTTAAGAATAGGTCCGGAAAACTGGTTTATTTGTCGTTGGGTTCTATGGGTTCTGGAAATGTAGAGCTTATGAAGAGATTGGTTGCGATTTTGTCCAAATCTAAGCACCGGTTCATTGTCTCCAAAGGTGTCAATCATAATGAGTACAAATTGGCGGACAATATGTGGGGCGAGAGGTCTGTTCCTCAGCTGAAAGTGTTGCCAATCGTAGACCTAATGATAACACACGGCGGCAACAATTCTATGACAGAAACCATGTATTTCGGGAAACCTATGATAGTCTTACCACTATTTACCGATCAATACGATAACGCACAGAGAATTCAAGAAAAAGGATTTGGTATAAGACTCGACGCTTTCAAGTGCTCTGAAAATGAATTATTGGATTCAATCGACAGACTATTAAACGACGAAAAATTGGCCCAAAAGTTGGCAAAAGTTTCGCAAAGAATTCAAAGCGAAAGGAATATCGAAAAACTCGTCAAAATTGTTTAGAATTTAGTGAAATAATGATTTGATTGCTTAAAATGTATCAATTTTTAATAGTTATTAAATATTCCCACATTAAATTAATCAAATTTTAAAGTTATGTAATAGCCATTATACTATAATATGAAACTTTGTGGTTTACTTTTAAATTAACTGCACTATTTAATCTAATTTGAAATAAAATAAATAATTAAATACAAAATTGTATTAAATTAATATATGGTACTGTTATCACTTTAAATAATTATTATAAATGATATAAATTTTGATATTAATATATTGATAATTGCTTACGACTTACTAACGTTAGTAAATAATAATAATAGTGATTTATATAAAAAAACTAATTTATAACTAAATTCTTGGAAAATTGCTTTTTAAAAATGTAAAGAAAGGATACTCTGATTACGTGACATATATAACATGCTAACTATTTCTCTATAATTAAGTTTTAAAAAATTATTTTCAAATATTAAGAGGTTATCATATGGCAAACCAAATAATTTCTATTAGGGGACAGGTAATCAAGGCACATTATTGATGTAATTTTTGTTTTGTTTACAGTTTACTATTAATACTGTAACCAATTTCAATGAGTTCTCTGTTTGGTAAGCTTAAGGTTAGTCTTGAAATTTGTGAATCATATCTTGAAATTTGTGAATCATATCTTGAAAAATATGATAACAAATATTTCTTTAGCGTACAGTACTTACCGGTGCATCGAGTGAATACTGTGCTCACCATTAGGAATGCCTACAATTGGCTATACATTTCCATTTAGCAAACTATAAAAAGGCATCAAAAAAAGTTATCAAAAACTAATACTAGTACTTCAAAAACTTTCAGATAGCCTACAAAGCTTGCATACAATGGCACACAGAAAGTTAACGGTGCTGTTCGCGCCCATGCAGTTCGTGGGTCCAGTGAACTCCAGTATAGGTATGGCCGAAGTGTTGCGAGACATCGGTCGACACCACTGTGTGTTTGCCGTCAAAAGTGATTGGAAGTCACGGCTCGAGTCCATTGGGTTTGTGGTGAAACTTATCGGTGAAGAGGTGGCCAGGGATGTAGTGGTCACCGACTCAGCCGATACTAACGTGGCTCAGGCTGAGAAATGGGGTGTCTTTAGGAATGTGGATCCATTGGAACAGCTTATAAACAATGGCAAAGCAATGGACAACTTGACGGATTTTGTCGAAACTGATGGCTATCTGAAGACTATTATCTCAGATGTCAAACCGGATGTCATAATTAGCGACCATATGACCGTATACCCATCTATGGAGACATCGGGCATACCCTGGATATTCTTTTGGAGCGCTAATCCATTATCACTAGACTATGGGTATCCGGATGAACGCCTCCCGCCCTCAATATTAGGTGGGATTTAAATATTGTATGAGTTATGCAAACATTAAACAGTATTTTTGTGTTATTTTTTAAGGATTGCCGACAAATACTGAGACAGAAGTGAAGGAGAAATACAGACAACGGATTAATGCGGCAAAGAGTGAGTCGTGGTATAGATATAGGGATCAATTGGTTTCAATGGGTGGCACCGCACCAAAAGAGTTCTTAATGTGGACCCCATCCCCCTTTGCCAACCTATATATGACTCCTAAGGAACTGGATTATACGGATGTCAGACCACTTCCCGACAATTTCTATGCGTTTGATTGTTTCAAACGCAGTGGAAATGACGATAACTTTGAAATACCGGAAACTCTTAAGAATAGGTCCGGAAAACTGATTTATTTTTCATTGGGTTCTATGGGTTCCGGAAATGTAGAGCTCATGAAGAGATTGGTTGCGATTTTGTCCAAATCTAAGCACCGGTTCATTGTCTCCA